GGGACCAGGGGCAGAAAGAAAGGGAGAATTTGGAAAATACTATGAAATTATATTGACTAAATCATATTGTTATATTGTATGCATGTACAAATATGTAGCAATAAATCCCGTTATTATGTCTAATCATAATGCACCAATAGAAATGTAGAAAAATTTAAAAAGTTACTTATTCAAGAAAAATTGCTTTTCCTGTAATTTAGTGCCATTTTTTTCAGTTTAGGATACTAAAAAAAATGGCTGTTTATTATCTTGTAAGAAAATAATTTACTTATAAACCTTTAAGCTTTCATTAATTAAACATGTGTGTGTATTTAAACAACTCATTAAATACACTTGTGATATACAATGGATAAACCATAGGAATAATAATAATAAGAGGAAAAATAAGTAAGCAATAAAAGAGTATTATTTTTCTTATGTACACAATGTGATAGGTCAGAACTAATGAATAGGAATCATTTTAATAAGAAAAGAATATACATTATAAATGAGACTTGTGGACATTCAAAGAATAGAACTGTCAGTATAAAGTGAGCTTAGGTTTTCATTTATCATTTTTTATTTTGTATTATTATGTGCCTGGAACCATTGTACACATGTTACGAAAAAACTCATTTTTATTTTTGAGAAAAAATCTATGAAATAGATAGTATTATTATCTTATTTCACTGACAATAAAAACCTGAGACTGCAGAAGTTAAATAACTGCTCAACTTTATGTAATTAATAAGTAATAGAACCAGGATTTATACCCAGAAACTGTTTCCACATTCCATGTTTTATAAGAGGAAATGCTAGATATTAGATGATTAGTTACTTTTGTTTGGGATGATGGATCCCTGTTGATAATCCGAAACCATTTACTATCTACTGAGAATATACACGCATAGACATACATTTGCATATTTATATTGTATAAATGTATTCTATATGTGTATATAAATATACATGTGTGTGTGTTTTTTGAAATTATTTCTTGATTTTGTCTTTTGTTGTTGGTCAGAATTATTGTTGAAAATGAAAATATAGCCATCAAAGAGAGTTGATATTTTCATGATCTTTGTTGAGGATTAATGGAGAGTCTTTTTGTTTTACTCTCTAAGGTTTGAATGGAAGAACATTAGAGCAGTGGGAAGTTTAAGCTCAGGAAGTAACTAATTGTCAATCCGAAGTTTAATCACTTTAAATGGATTAATACTATTTATTACATTTACTCATCTAAAACTAATTCATTTTTTTCTTTAGTACTCCACAAATGCAACCACTTTTTAAAAAATCTGGAACAAAATATACAAATACAAAGTTTATTTTAGGTTTTAATGTAGTCCTTAATTCAATTTGAAAATTGCTTCTAACTAGGCTCAACTTTATAAAAGCAAGCAAAAGATTAATCCACAATCTGTATTATTGTCTTAAGGCCTTTAGTTTCATCTATTATACCAGCATCTCAACCACCTTTATAATCCTTTGACTATATTTTATTGCTGTTACCCTCAAACCAGTTATTACTTATTACAGACACAGTGCTATCATTCTGAAAGTCTTTTAAACTACAGTGTCTGCATAATGATGTGATGCAGGAGTCATGGAAAACTTTTATTATTAAGATTATGGCCAAGAAGATTATTCCAGTAGGGTGATATAGTGTATATTACAGAAAAAAAATTGGAGACAGAATACAGGAGAACAAGGAGGTAGCACTGTAGGTACATGAAATAAGTCCTGCTCAGGACCATTTTAGAAAAGTAACTGAAACATGATGCTTTGGCAGAGGCATCTGAAGCCATTAATATCTGTTTACTTTCCTTCCTTGAGTGGACATAGAAAAGCTGTTTCCCTTCTATCTATCCTTTTGAGCCTTTTGGGTCAACCTCTGTGATCTTGGGCTTTGCTTTCCCATGAGGATCAATTCTTCTCTTTTTTAATCAAATCACATTTTAATTTATTTTTAACTGATTGTCAAAAAGCATGAAAGATGTACATAGTAAGACATATTAATGGGGTGACATGTAACTTTTAATATATGTATATATATTGCATAATGTTGAAATCAGGTTAAATTGATTGTATATATTGCATAATGTTAAATCAGGTTAAGATTGAAATTAGGTTAAACACACTTATTTCTTCAAATATTTATTATTTCTTTGTGGTGAAAACTTTCAAAATCCCTTCTTCTAGCTTTTGGAAATATACAGTAACTGATTGTTTTCTGTAGTCACCTTACTGTGCAATACCCACAAGAGCTCCTTACTCCTAAATAACTATAGCCTAGTGTCCATTCATCTACCTTTTCTTATCTGTCCCTCCTCCCCTTAATGTTCCTGATCCCCAGATGGATTAATTTTTTCTTAGTTTACAAATCAGCCTATGTATCAATATCAATTTCAGAGCAATTCTTTAATCCTCACTTTGGGTTGAAGAGAAAAATTCTTTGTATGGATATTGGGAATATTAATTATATAATAAATCAATTTATGAACATTTGGTTGACACATATAAAGAAAAATCACACAGAACAACCATGGAAAACTACCTTCAAAATTGGCTTCCCAAATTGGCACCCAATTGTAAAATGACTTCATGATCCATATTTGACTATTTCTTGGGCTTACATCATTTTTAAGATCTTTAATTAGCTGATGTACTAAAGCTGGAAATTCTCATATGAAAATTCAGAATTTCTCCTCTAGAGGTTGCAACACTGGAAACCTGGCAACACCAAGCAAGCCTTCCCCAAAGCAGTGGTCAGTTGAAACTGTGTGATGTACCTGTTTCAGGGTGGTTGTCCTCCAGTTCCCCACAGCCCCCTTCAGTCCTCTTCACTCATCGACATTTCATGCCTTAGCCTTAAATGCCCTGGAGTTTGCAACCCCTACTCTGGAGCTTCACCCTAGTCACTTACTGGACCCCAAAAGTGTATGCTTAGCTCACCTTCTAAAGTAGTATTTGATTACAAGAATGCACAACAAAGCAAAGCACTGAATTTAAACCACTGCATCTTCCCCTGTGTCCAAGTAGTGGAAAAAACATGTCAAAAAGTAGAATTCCTCTGGCACAGCCAACTTACCTGTTGTTAGATAAATTGATTTTATTATATAAAGGGAGGCCCTAAGATTCTTCTAAGATGTTAACCTCGATCCTGGTATACTTACACTCTATCAGATCCTAAGACTTCTCTCACTTTACTTACATAGTTTTTTTTTAATAAGACAAAATTGAACATTAATAGAATCAATTAGAGACAGACAAGATACTGAGAAATCAGTGACATAATAAATCTTTTCCTTGTAAATTAGTGATGTTCCTGCATATGGTGATTATCTGAGATGGATCAAGGAACAAAGCTATCACCTAAGACTGCTGTTACTCTGAAAATGATAGCATTTACTTGCCCAGTTTTGAGATATATAGTTAGCTAATAAGGAATCTTTCATTAACAGAGTGAACATGATACCCTGATTGGGATAGTAACCTAGCAAGTATCTGACCAGAGTATTATGGCATTTCTTAAATGACACGGATATTCAGTAAGATAATTTGGAATCTGTAGTGAATGCAGTTTTCACTGTGAACAATGTCAGGGTTGCTCTAATGTAATCTGTAATATTATTGTCCATGGTGTGTGTGTGTGTGTGTGTGTGTGTGTATGTATTTTAGTTGTTGATGGACATAATACATTTATTTATTTTTATGTGGTGCTGAGGTTCAAATCTAGTGACTCACACATGCTAGGCAAACACTCTACCACTGAACCCACAACCCCATCCCTCCATGTTATATTCATAGAGAATGAAGCTATACTGTTGAATCCATTTTGATCTACTCCTCTGGACTTGCTTTCTTTCTTGTTTCTCTTTTGTTATTTTATGATGGAAATCAGATTCTAGATTCAAAGATTTAAAATGCCTTCAGAGTTCAATGACATGGATAATTTAAAATGATTATTAGTAACTTGGTACTGTAAATATTACCCAGTAACTTATCATCAGAGTCTGATTCTGAATGCATTTCTATTCAGACATAAAGCAGAGTGACTCAGAGAATGTGGAATTCTCCCATCAGATGCTCACACACAACTTCAGTTGTGCAAGATTCTGCCCTCAGCAATATGAGCCCACTTCAAACAGAAATGCACATGAATAGTTAAAGAAAAATGCTGGATCCAACCTGTTGCCTCTTCTGTGAAGTAATAAGTCTATAATGTTTATAAATTTTAATAACCCAGATAGGGATTTATCTTTCAACATTAAATTTATATTATCCAAAAGTTTGACTTTTGGGGGCATGTATTCTCTAGTATCTTGGAAAATCTGTTTACTAATGCATGTCCGTTAATAAAGAATTGCAGTGTTCTCTTATCAACCAAATATCAGCACATTTTGAATGTTGCATTGAAATCTTTATTTTCAATGTGATGTTTTCTTCGTCTGACTGAAGGTGTCGTGATCCTTCCTGAGGGCTGGAAACATCAACATTATATTTGTTGATTCTGTCAAAGTGAATTGTGTTTGTGTTTACATTTTGTTCCCCAAGATTATAATTGAAATAAATTTTTCACAATGTTTCCTTTTGATGGTTTAAGATCCTATGGTAATGAGAATTGAATGAACCAAATCATTAGCTTGAGAATAGGTATGTGGATGCAAACCCAATTTTAAAATTGTTTATATCTGATAACATCAAGCCTCACCTATAAACCTTATGTTATGTCTTAGAAACAATGACTACATCTCAGTGCATGAACAATGAGAAGGGAAAAAATAAACCTAACAAGCAAAAGGCTACTTTTACTCATCGGAGTAAGTGTGACAAGAGGCCAGAGGTGGAATTTATGATTTTAATCACATTGTCTACAACTAATTCATTTTACCCTTGAATTTTTAAGTAGTTCTTAAGTAGATTTTTCCTGAGGAAGAAAGTAAATAAAGGAAAGCAGTTTCCCTCTGATGACAGATTCACTTATTCTAAACAATACTTTCTCACTACTTTGATTTCAGTTTACAAGCACTGAGAAAGGAGAAATCCCGAGATGCTGCTCGCTCCCGCCGGGGGAAGGAAAATTTTGAGTTCTATGAATTGGCCAAGTTGTTGCCTCTTCCTGCAGCCATCACCAGCCAGCTTGACAAGGCGTCCATCATTCGACTGACAATTAGCTATCTGAAAATGAGGGACTTTGCTAATCAGGGGGACCCTCCGTGGAACTTGCGAATGGAAGGCCCTCCACCCAACACATCAGTAAAAGGTAAGTTTTAGGTCACAGTTCAGTATGGCATATGGTGGTCTGTAGCTATCTTTAAGTCGAAATGTTTACCATCATCCTTTCTTCTTTTCCTGCATATCAAATCCTTTAAAGGGATACAAATGTGGAAATCTGAACTCTGCATGAGAAAGACACCATGTGAAGGTGAAATAAACCTCTTCTATTTCTATTTTATTTTCAAAAAGTCTTGTCAGCCTAAATATACTGCTACTTTATATCAAATTTCTTAGAAATGAGAATGAGATGATTTACGTATAAGTGATTCTGGGATTTAATGTATGTTATATTAATACATATAAATTATTCTTGGTGGGTAGAATATGGAAATGCTTGTTAAAGGGTGGAACTAATAAGTTTTTTCTTTAAGTAACCAGAGAGAGAAAGGGAGAGAGTCTAACTTGAGCAGGCATTTTTGAGTTAATGATTTTATTGACCATAAAAATCAATCCATGTATTAATGTTTCATGTTTCTCTATAGACATATTGCCTAAAAGTTATAAACATATATTTGTTCTTCAGATGCTTGATACAGTTACACTTTAAGCTCACTATTTTAAAATGTGGGGTCTTTTTTACTCTGACATTCAAGAGAGGTATTTTCCTATGAGTTCCCCAAATACCTAATACTTTATGGCATTTTTAGCACTTGAATATGCATGCATACCATTTACTGAGGTATATGTGGTGTTGGCCATTGATTTTCTGTCTTTACAGTTGTGTTATTCAAGGCGTAGGATTTAAAATGTCTGCTAGATTCTTATGTCCTGACCTTGTGTTTAGGCCCTTGATGAACATGGAATAAAATTAGGCATTTGGGAGACTGGATTATGTGCTTTAATTTGGTGATGACACCTTTCCAAATACATTTGGAAAAATCCCAACAGTTTTAGCTGTTGTAGGAAAGGGTATTAGTGGGGAGGGTAAACTCTTTTATAGGACTGATTGAATTAAAGGGTCAAAAGCAGTGATCATTTATGATTCCATAGTAAGAGCTGTGGTTATGTATGTGTACATGCATGTATGAATGTGTTATAGTTTGAGCATCCCTAATCTGAAAATCCTTAACCTGACATATACCAAACCTTTTGAGTACCAACATGATGCCACAACTGGGAAATTCCAGTTCGTATCAAGTGCAAAATTATGTAAAATATTGTATAAAAGGCTCTGTTTATAAGGTATATCTGAAACATGAATGAATTTGGTGTTCAGTCTTGGATCCCATCTACAAGATACTCATTACATATGTCCAGATAGTTCCAAATTTGAAAAAACCCGATACCTGATTTCTGATATCTGGTCCAAGAATTTCAGATAAGGGATACTTTATTTACTTAAGAATTTACTTATGCTTATGAGAGGAGGAAAATTAGAATTTAAATTTAACAGGTTATTTCTCTCTAGAGCCGTGGTTGGCAAACATTGTTTGTAGAGGGTCATATAGTAAATATTTTAGGTTTTGGAGTCTACTAAATTCTGCCATTATAGTTTGAAATAAGGAATAGACAATATGTAAATGAAAGGATATGGCTGTTTTCCAGTAAAACTGTATTTACAAACAGGCAGCAGCCTCTGAATTTAGCTCAGAGGCCATAGTTTGTGGACCATTGATCTAGAGTATATGACGCTGTTAAGGTTAAAGAGAATACACAACAGAGGTACCTCTCAAGGACAGGATGTCAGTACAAGTTAGCCCATGACAAATAAATGAAGGCACATTCTTCAGTCCTTTTATAGTTCTTCTGCCCTCTAGAATGTGGACATAATCTTGATAAGACACTAATGCATTTTCTAGGTACTAAAGTAATAGTGAACTTTCCCAAAGTAAAGATGTGCATATACTTTTAGTGTATATACATTAGATTTATTTTTTCACTCTAGTTTGAGGCATGCCTGTTTTTATGTTTATGCCAAATCATGCAAAATGAAATGATAAGTCCAATATGTTAGAAACCCCACAGAATGGAAAAAATATTATTATTCAATCTGCAAAAATTGTTAAACTGGACTTGTATTTTCTTTGTTGAGCATAGTTGTCTTTTATTTTATTTTTATTTTAAAAGGAGTTTGCAGTGAATAGTCTTTCTTGGAAGTATTGGTGACTAAAGTGGAAAAATTTGGTGGCTCCATTGTTTGTTCATTCTCTCTGATGTGATAGTCCAGTTTACATTTAGAATTATGGCCTTTTACAGATGCAGGCTTTTAGATCACATAGAACTATTCCCTCATTTTACAGATAAGAAATGACTTTGCAATTAAGTGTTAGTAGATATAAGACAAAAATCCAGTTTTCTTGCCTTCTGTCTAGCACTCTTTCACATCATATTTTTTATAAATGACATTTGTTTTGAATCTTCATTATTAAACATTCCAAGTGAGAATTTTATGAGCTTTAGACTGTCACTAGCAATTGACTTTTTCTTTGTGTGGTTCTATCAGCTCTATAACCCTTTATGATGATTAGGGTAAATAAGATGATAACACATGGCCTCTGCCCTCCATGGGTGTTGCTGTCTATGGAAGGGCATGGTAGTGGTATCACTAAAGAACAATGGGGAGCCTAGAAGGAGATAAGAGATTTTGTTATTTAAATAATTCTAGCCAGATGATGTCAGAACATCCATAGTTAGTACATGTTTACTTCCACTCTTAGTAAATTGATGATGGGCTAAAACTGGAGATTGTGCATGGTGACTCCATACAGTCTCTGCTGTCTCTCTTAAAAATTGCTAGAAAGGGTTGGGGTTGTAGCTCAGTGGTAGAGTGCTCACCTCACATGTTGGCACTGGGTTCCATCCTCAGCACCACATAAAAATAAAATAAAGGCATTGTGTCCAAATACAACTAAAAAGTATTTTTTAAAAAGTTACTAGAAAGGCACTTGGTACTCTCTATCTGCTGCTTCTGCTGTGCAATATATGTACAATTTATTGCCTTACTCTAGTTCTTTAATTCAAAACTGCTACTCACTCTGATCAAACATTCATGAAACAACAACATCAAAAGAAATTCATTTTAATTTATTAAGGTCTTCTATGTTATGCCCTTGAAGAAGTTCATGTGGATAAACAAGCTTATATAAACAGCCTGCAGCACCATGTGAAGTCAGTTCATAATCCAACAATAAAGACGATAGACGTTATACTTTGTGCCTCTCCAAGCAGTCTCTTGAATAAACCTAAAGGCATTTGGAAATTTATATAAAAAGTACTTACACGATGTAGGCAGCATTTTTTTAATGTGAAGAGTTGATCATGTTAATAATTAAATTTCAAAGCTTAAATTTAAATTTGTCCCACGCAACTATGTAGAAGTTTAATCATTTTAATTTACTGCTTCAGAAAGGTCTTTTACTCTGCCCTGTGTTTATCACATCTTTTCTTAACAGTCTATAAAGGTGGATGAGTTTGTTTTGTGATATCCATTTTATACAGATTATTACGAGTTATGCTTGCAGGAAGAACACTCAGGTGACAGTGTATAATATGTCCTGAGTCAATTACCTCATGGAAATGATATGTTAAGCAATTGGAAAGTAACAGATATTTTTTCCTATTATTTTAGAAATATCTGTATTGTTATAATACAGATCAAATCTACAATGAATGTTATGCATTATTCAAGAAATGACCAGGCATTCTCAGCAGTGTTTCATTCAGCTAAATAACTGATGATTGTAACCTTTAAAGAAATCTCATTGTGGTGACTGTTGGTAAATCACTTCTCCATTCATAGTAATCTCTATTTAGAGGCTATCTAGAAACCATTATATCTTTTATTAATCTTAAAAGCAATAGCTGCTGATTTGACATTTGCTAAAACTAGATAAATTTTCTGTCTTTCTAATATCACAGACTTCAGTCAATTTTTGGAGTGTGTCTGCTGCAACTCTATTAATCCAGGAATATTTGCCATTGTAAGCATAAGTTTTATTTCAATTTAAATATTGAAGCTTTTAAACAGCAATTTGCCTATGTCTGTGACAGCCAACAATGCTAAAATATGGAAAATATAAGACACCCTTAGCCCTTGAAAAGGAACAGTTGAAAAACATGCAAGGCAACTGGTGATTAAAACTGCCTGAACACATTAGTGAAGAGCTTTACCTCTTGCACAGAATTTGTCTTCACTCTTCAGGTATCTATTGTGAATTAAGTAGTAGTTTTTTCTGAGAGGAGAGATTAGCAGTCTTTATTTAAGCCACTTGTTACCTATCCTTTGTCAAAGACAGGACTCTTATTTAAACAATGATGCTCAGTGGGTTCGTTTACAATAGTCTCCCAGGGTAAATGTGTGACATTGAGTTACAGCTACAATGGTTGTCCCTAAAACTTGGACAGCACTTTGTAAAATGATTTTTGTTTTAGTAGAAAGGTAGAAATTCTAAGACCATCTGAGTGATGGGTCTTCTTAGGTTAAACAGTTCAGAGGTCCTCCATTTCCTGTTTTCCCATTTTACCAAATGCTAAGGACCATTTCCTTCTTCTAAGTGACGTCCGTGCATTAGGACAAGTTCATATTCCTTCTTACCAAAAACCTGTAAGATGAAAGTTCTTGGATTTCATACCCAGTCATGCATACTCAGCCCATTCATTTTTTTCTTTTTACACAGGCAAAGTGTTGAACGGAGAGAACCCCTTAGTTCTGAGCAAAAAGCTTTGTGTGGGACTTTTTGGAGAGTAGGGTAAACAATGGAAACGTGGTTCTCTTGATTCCTATTCTTATTTCCATCATCTTCAGTAGAATAAGGACCAATGCCTCTGTTCTGGTCTCTAACTCCATTTGTCTCAACCCAGGTGATAATGGCACCAAATGGAACAGAACCATCCAAAAGCTGAGCGGCACCAGTGCTCACTGCTAGTTTGTTTTGGGAGTGAGTGCCAGATCTTACGAGTATATGGAAATATGATGTAATATGAGTGCCTTTTCTTGGGTATGCTTCCAGAAAGCATGCTATTGTCATTTTATAGATTTATAGTAGAACTTCTGAAAGAAACTCATCTAAGAACTAACTTTTTACATTGTATTACGATTGGGCAAGCAATGTTTACATAACTATGCTTACCAGTAATCCTCCGTGTTACTGGTTGGGAAGGGCGTTCTGCCAAATGGGGGCTCTATGATGGCAGAACATATCTCTGAGA